CCTTTAAATGAGTTAGATGGGTTTGGTTCAACTTATTGAAGTGGATTTCACCATAACATATTATGCACAGATGAAAAGTTAGTATAATCAACTATTATGGAGTTTTAATTGCTCACTTATTGCTTAAATTATTTGTGGAAATAACTTCAATTAATATTTAAAAACCATTTCTAAAATTAAAATATAAAAAAATTTGAAATTTATTAATATTTAAAAATAAACATTATTAAAAAAGGCAGGCTTGGGCCGGGCCTGCGGTTATAAAAAACCCGTCGGGCCAGGCTTGGGCTTTGCCTATCATACCTGTAGCGGGCTCGGGCCGGGCTTGGGCCTGTGTCATGAGGTCGGGCTTGGGCCTGGGCCAAGGGGTACCCGGTCCCGACCCGGCCCATTGCCATCACTAAAAATCGCAGCCTATCAACAGTATGGTTACCATGCAATCAAATCCTTTCATCATCTGTTATCTCATCGAGACTGACGTACAGAAATAGTGTCAACCTCAGATATCCTCGACATGTTTGTATTCAGTTACTAGACCAATAACAGAAATATTAAATTGGATTGAGCAACAACTCAATCCCATTGTGGCCACAGATTTAGTGTCATTGCCATTTATTGAATTACCCAGTGAGATAACTTCTCCCGTACCCAGAAGTGATGAATCCTTTGTTGATCCACCATAATCTTGATACACTCCTTGATGCATCCAATCACTACCATATTGATAGCTCTGAATAGAACTACGTTAGGCTAGTGTCCGACTACACCAATCGGTGCATAAGGCGCTTCAGTGATCTCAAGTCTAAGGATTACATGCACCACCATTCGTTAGAGGATTTATTCCATAGACACTAGGGTTACCATCCATATGGAATCCTCTAGTGGGTCTGTCCAGTGAACTTGCCTACAGCAAGCACCTATGTGTCACGCCAGGTTGTCAACAAACAACCTTGACAAGTGAGATCAGTCACTGCCTTTCAATAGGGTCGTTCAACACTATGATAGCCCTACCGTATTATATGTGTCCTTCGTCAGAATAATACTGGGGCTACAAATATTTCTAGAATGACCACCATATGTGATCATAGGGTTCTCACTATCAAGATTTGAAACACTTGATACCTTGTCACGGTTCTACCATCCTAAAGACATATATCAATACATATAATATGATTTACGTGATATAGTGGATAATGTCTTTTATTGATTAATAAACATTATTACAAAAAGTCAATTCCACAATAATTGATGAACTCTATGGCACCTACTCCAACAACTCAAACACTGACAGTGACTAAAACGTTATTAATAATATACACCAAACTAAAAGGGTTAGGCCAAACTTTAAGGACAAAACTGTTATTAACCTAATCTTGATCAATGTAGGCCGCGGGAAAGCCTAGGAGCTTGCCATCTGTGGGTCCAAGTGAAAGATGAATTGATGACATGGCAAAATCCCGGTGGTTAGATGTTTGTGTTGGAAGAAAATATTTAGTGAGATGAACATATAGTAAAAGACTAAAAGTTTTATTATTTTAATTTTTTTTTTTTTTTATAATCGGGATATTCAGATGGGTTTGTACACATTTCAACTAATTTTTCGAGACTCTAGAATCAGAGGCGGACTTAACCCCTTTAAGGGTTGGGCCTAA